TTTTATAATTATAGGTTATTTTAAAGAAGGTTCCAGGTTCTTTTTAAGAACTCATGACAGAAATTATTACAATGCAAACTCCATACTAAACAAACTTTTTTTAGGTGGGCCCTGTTCTAAATGGACAGCTGTCATAGAAAGCAGTTTCATAAATTTTGAGCCAACAGTTAGGCAGAGAGGTTGGATAGGGTAGAGCCAGGGGCGGACTGACAACTCATGGGGCCCCCGGGCAATAGGGGATCATGGGGCCCCTGTGTCCCTGCACAAACTCAAAAAAGTCTATGAAAAAGATACCAGGGGCATCTCATGGGGCCCCCTACTGACCCCGGGCCCTCGGGCAGTGCCCAAGTTTCCAAATGGTCAGTCCGCCCCTGGGTAGAGCTAAGCTTTTCAATTTTGGAACTGATCACATTTGCATAATACAGTGCCTTGAAAAAGTATTCATACCCCTTGATATTTTCCAAATTGTGTTATGTTACAACCAAAAACGTAAATTTATTTTATTGGGATTGTATGTGATAGACCAACACAAAGTGGCACGTGATTGTGAAGTGGAAGGAAAATGATAAATGGTTTTCAATTTTTTTTACAAATAAATATGTGAAAAGTGTGGCGTGCATTTGTATTTAGCCCCCCTGAGTTACTACTTTGTAGAACCACCTTTTGCTTCAATTAAAGCTGCAAGTCTTTTTGGGTATGTCTCTACCAGCTTTGCACATCTAGAGAATGAAATTTTTGTCCATTCTTTTTTGTCAAATAGCTCAAGCTCAGTCAGATTGGATGGAGAGCATCTGTGAACAGCAAATGTCAAGTCTTGCCACAGATTCTCTGTCTTAGGTCTGAACTATGACTGGGCCATTTTAACACATGAATATATTTTGATCTAAACCATTCCATTGTAGCTCTGGCTGTATGTTTAGGGTTGTTGTCCTGCTGAAAGGTGAACCTTTGCCCCAGTCTCAAGTCTTCTGCAGACTCTAACAGGTTTTCTTCTAAGATTGCCCTGTATTTGGCTCCATCCATCTTGCCCTCAACTCTGACCAGTTTCCCTGTTCCTGCTGAAGAAAAGCATCCCCACAACATGATGCTGCCACCACCATGTTTCAAGGTGGGAATGGTGTGTTCAGAGTGATGTGCAGTGTTACTGTTCTGCCACACTTAGTGTTTTGCTCTTAAGGCAAAAAGTTCAATTTTGGGTCTCATCTGACCAGAGCACCTTCTTCCACATGTTTGCTGTGTCCCCTACATGGCTTCTTGCAAACTGAAAACGGGACTTCTTATGGCTGAAATACTGAAACACTGACACATAGTGGCAAAATGCCTCCTATGAACTAGGAACACATAGAAAACACATAACAATGAGGCTTCCAATTATCGTTGGAATACTGAAAACAGATAATTCCTCCAAACTATTTAGGTCCTCTTTTGCAGACCTTTAAGCTCTGAGGAAGAAGGGATCCCCCTTCGAAACACGTCATCTTGACCAAGAGTGTATCTCCCTTCCGGATGGAACTCACACGTGTCTTCTAACCCTGTGTTGGTTTTGGATGTTATATGCCTTTTTACTGCTACTCTTGTGAGTATAATTTATCAATAAATACATAAATTGTTTACTGAGGTAATCCGCAAGGTTAGTGCGCTCTTTTCTTTTGTTCTCTACTACAGTTATGCAGTTGTGCCATACTCGTTCCATTTTAGGATGATGGATTGAGCAGTGTTCTGTAAGATGTTCAAAGCTTGTTTATAACCTAACCCTGTTTTAAACTTCTCTACAACTTTATCCCTGACCTGTCTGGTGTGTTCCATGCCCTTCATGATGCTGTTTGTTCACTAATGTTCTCTAACAAACCTCTGAGGGCTTCCAAGAACAGCTCTATTTATACTGAGATTAACTTACACGCAGGTGAACGCTATTTATTAATTAGGTGACTTCTGAAGGCAATTGATTCCACTATATTTTAGTTAGGGGTATCAGAGTGAAGGGTGCAAAATACAAATGCATGTCACACTTTTCAGATATTTATTTGCAAAAAATGTTGAAAACCATCTATCATTTTCCTTCCACTTCACAATTATGTGCCACTTTGTGTTGGTCTATCACATAAAATCCCAATAAAATACATTTACGTTTTTGGTTGTAACATTACAAAATGTGGAAAATTTCAAGGGATATCAATACTATTTTAAGGCACTGTACATACATAAAGGCAACTCACACAGAATCACTTTAAAATTAGTATCCTTTTATAGGATTTGTCTTTAAAAATTATGCATATATAAAGATGAGGTGACCCAGGCACGTAAATTAGACCAATATACAAAAAAAAAAAAATCAGTGCAGTACATCCTAAATATATTCATGCTAAATCTATCTACAGGTATAAGTACAGATCCTTAATCTGTAAGTGTTTTCATCACACCCCAAAATAAATAAAATGAATAATGATGTAGTGCAATTAAAATCACTACACAAAAAAAACAACCAAACATAAAATAAAAATAGAAATTCCTGATCATGAGCCACCATCCCCAAAATTGCAAAATAGGTGAAGAAAGGGACCCCTATAAGGCTTGAGACGTTAAAGGCTTGAATATATACCAAAAGAGTTTTTTTTATAAAAAAGAACAAACTTTTAATTTTGTCAAGGAATTGTTTTAGCAGATAGACATATGATACAATACATCATCCAAAGTCATAGTGCAGCATCAACATCAGAATATGAATTACATGATAAGGATACCCATTATGACTGTGTTTGACTGGCCATAAAAATATATTGTAATATCATCATTTTAATACATGATTACAGAGATAGTATTCTAAATGATCAAAAACGTTTTGGAGTGACTTCACTCCTTCCTCAGGGAAAAAAGAAGAACTCTGCATATGGGTGACATCATCTACAAGATTGAACATATATTTGTTTGAAACATTTCTTATATTCATTATGATATTTAACAATTTATAATCTGTAGATATACTTACAATACATGAAAGATCAGAAAAAATTGTTGAATTATTAAACTCCATTAACCTCCCTCGGCGGTCTGATTATTTCCGATTTTTTGTGCTGAAAGCGGTACCATTTTTTTGCATGGAAATATGTAGTTTTTTTATTGTAGGCTGTAATTTTTAGGAATAACTCACTGAAATCTGTACGAACAAGAGTCTAGTAAACATCCCGGGTAGGATAAATTTGAAACACGAAATCAAAAATTATAATTTAATAAATAATCATAAAAAATAATAATATAATAATAATACATTTAATTCAATAATATAATCAAACCAAAAACACTGAAATTTGAAATACAGAGGCAAATTCGCACATCGCTGAGCAAAGTTGCAAAATCGTTTTCAGTGTCTGATGACGAATTTCCCCACTAATCATTATCACTCAATTCTGCAAGTGGTTCTGATTTACTATCGCTGTTCTCTAGCTGGTCTAAAACCGATTTTGACGTAAAGGGACGCTTTTGAGATGCCATGGACTTTTCTAAGTTTCCAGGCAGAAAGAAACAGTCAAAATGAAGGCAGGGCACAGGACAAAGCAGTAGGGACAAAATGTATGTGAAATGCATTGAAACAGCAATGTTTTTACTATGTAATAATCATTTTTTAAAAAATTATATATTTTAAAAATTTCAAATTTGCCGCCGTACGTCCCGACGTCACAGGGACCGGAACACGAAGCTGGATGCCGGCATCGGCCGGAGGAGATGGCCGGGGACACTACAGGGGACACATCGTGGGAGCGAAGGACAAGGTAAGTGCTGCAGGGACTCCCTGAGCAACGCCGCATGGTAAGCCCGAGTGTAGCTCGGGGTTACCGCTCTTGGTATTCAAATTTTACCCCGAGCTACACTCTGGAATACCGCTAAGGAGGTTAAAAGACACGGTGCTTCAAAAAACCGCCTCATGTAGCTGGAAAACAGACTGAACCAAGACAGTGGAACCCCCCAGGCACAAATCACAAGGGCACACCCCAGGTCACTGCAATGAATAGCTGTATACATGAGTAGGAACGTATTATGTGTCATACACTAGTACCATACTGATCTATAGACAAGAGACCCACCATTGAGTGTGTAACCATCCAAGTCATCTCACACCTCCTCCTCATTATACCCGATAAATTATATCTTATGAATGTTATGGGGAACCTAGCCTAGCAGCTAACACTTCCCCTGTCATTAAGCCCTCAGACAAGGGAGGTAACATTGTCATTATGATTAATGACCAATATGTTAATATGTGTGTCACGGAGTGCCCGTGCCTTCCCCACTCCCCTTTGCCTGCTGTTCCTCGGCCATATCCCTCCACCCCTCCCTCCCCCCTTGCACATTCCTCTGTCCTTGTAGCTTCCATGAAAGGTGCTGGGCCGGCCATTGCCGAGGCAACCCGGCAGCATCCTGCTTTTAAAAAGACTGGCACAGGAAGCAGCCCTCCTCTTTGTTCCTGTGCACGCTGCTAGAATCATCTATCTCCCTGAAAGCCGCTGGGAGGCTCGGGTGGGGGGGACCGAGCCTCCGCAGCCATCCCCACTGCGCACTCCACAGACCCCCAAAAGGTCTGGACTGTAGCCTTCTGCAATACCCCAGGGTTGGGAGTACCCGCTGCCCTCCGCTGAATGTCCCAGGGTGGGAGTCTCCACAGCTCTGCATGAGCCCCCTCCTCAAAGGTCAAACCCCACAGCTGAAACCCTACCTGAGACCCTCCAGCTGGGGGGACACTGCCTGCCAGCTACCTGAGACCCCCAAGCTAAGGGGGAGACCGCCTGACCCTACCTGAGACCCTCCAGCTGAGGGGAAACTGCCTGCCAGCTACCTGAGATCCCCAAGCTAAGGGGAGACCGCCTGACCATACCGGAGACCCTCCAGCTGAGGGGACACTGCCTGCCAGCTACCTGTGACCCCCCAAGCTAAGGGGAGACCGCCTGACCCTACCTGAGACCCTCCAGCTGAGGAAACACTGCCTGCCAGCTACCTGAGACTCCCAAGCTAAGGGGAGAACACCTGACCCTACCTAAGACCCTCCAGCTGAGGGGAAACTGCCTGCCAGCTACCTTGAGACCCCCAAGCTAAGGGGAGACCGCCTGACCCTACCAGAGACCCTCCAGCTGAGAGGACACTGCCTGCCAGCTATCTGCAACCCCCCAAGCTAAGGGGAGACCGCCTGACCCTACCTGAGACCCCTCCAGCTGAGGGGTGAGTTGTCTGCCTTTTGCCCGAGACCCCTGCCCAGGGGTAGATTGCCGTCTGTTGCCCGAGACCCCGCCAGGGGTAGGTTGCCCCTGTTGCCCGAGACCCCTGCCCAGGGGTAGGTTGCCCGTCTGTTGCCCGAGACCCCTGCCCAGGGGTAGATTGCCACTTGTTGCCCGAGACCCCTGCCCAGGGGTAGGTTGCCCACCTGTTGCCCGAGACCCCTGCCCAGGGGTAGGTTGTCCGCCTGTTGCCGAGACCCCTGCCCAGGGGTAGATTGCCACTTGTTGCCCGAGACCACTGTCCAGGGGTAGGTTGCCCACCTGTTGCCCAAGACCCCTGCCCAGGGGTAGGTTGCCCGCCTGTTGCCCAAGACCCCAGACAATGAACAAAATGCGATATCTCCTGCGCTCCAGGACCCAGACCGGTGGTGAGTAGATAGAACAAACTCCAAAAAAGGAAGGAACCACCGAAATAGACAAGGTCGTGCAGCTCCACACCAAGACTGGGGAAGCCCAAACGAAACTGTGAGGAAGAACAACAAAAAGAAGCGCACCAACCTTGCGCATTACCTCAGTAACCAAAATTTATTAAATAAAAGAATGGTACTCACAAACAGCGAATAAAAACAGGCATGTAAGTCCTCAAAGGGACTTTAAAGGCAAGATGCAAATGCGAATCCCATCATGGAGGAAGCCACTCAGTACAGCTGACGCATTTCGAAGGACAAGCCTTCTAGCTCTGAGGAAGAAGGCTTGTCCTTCGAAACGCGTCAGTGTACTGAGTGGCTTCCTCCATGATGGGATTCGCATTTGCATCTTGCCTTTAAAGTCCTTTTGAGGACTTACATGCCTGTTTTTATTCGCTGTTTGTGAGTACCTTTCTTTTATTTAATACATTTTGGTCACTGAGGTAATGCGCAAGGTTGGTGCGCTTCTTTTTGTTGTTCCTGCCCAAGACCCCAGTCCAGGGGTAGGTTGCCCGCCTATTGCCCGAGACCCCTGCCCAGGGGTAGGTTGCCCGTCTGTTGCCCGAGACCCCTGCCCAGGGGTAGATTGCCGCCTGTTCCCGAGACCCCTGTCCAGGGGAAGTTGCCTGCCTGTTGCCCGAGACCCCAGTTCACTGTGCAGTCACGGAGGGAGCCCATCTGCGGCGGGACCCTCATGACCGGGCTCTGCCTGGGACCCCCCAAGCCTAGGGGGGAGATCGCCTGCCTGCTGCCCAAGAACCCAGTCCAGGGGTAGATCACCTGCTTGCTGCCCGAGACCCCAGCCCAGGGGAGGGGTTGCCTGCCTGTTGCCGGAGACCCCAGCCCGGGGGGAAGAATGTTCGCCTGCTGCCGAAGACCCCAGTCCAAAGGGGGGGGAAGACCGCACAAGCCACCCTGCCGGAGACCCCGCATCTGTCCTAAAACAGGTATCTGTGTCTTACTTTCTTATCCCTGGACCAGACACCCTGTCAGATCCATGGGCACATGCTTTCCCCTGTTTTACCTGAACTGCTGCTGGGACGATCCCCTGTTTTACCTGAACTGTTCCTGTTATGACCCTTGCCCCTTGTGAGATTACAATCCGCCACAGAGACTCTTCCTTTGCCCTTGGTGCTGGACTACAGGTATCTTAGCCCCTCCTTGCTGTCACCCCCATATTGGCAAGACCCCCCGTGCCAGGAATCATCTCCAGTTTGCGCACAGATCACCCTTCCTGCCATTTCCCCATTGAGTGACTGTTATTTTGTTGTCTCAATAAAGCTTTGTGTGTTCTCCATCTTTTCTGTGTGTTCTGTCCTGCCTACGCTTCCGTCACAATGTGTAATAAGATTCTCTCTATTACAGACTGGTATCGCCCAATTTCATCCGACGTGATTAACAAATTCAACAATCAATTCTATGAGTTGGTTGATACAGCGTTTTTGAATGGCATCATTACCAAAACCACATGGGACTTTGTTAGAACTAGCTTTCCTAGGATTCCAACTTTTACTCTCTCCCAAAAATTCACAAGAGAATAGACAATCCCCCAGAAAGGCCAAATATATCTGGCAATGGAGCTTTAACCGAGCATCTATATCAACTAATAGATGAATATCTTAGACCCCAAGTAGCAAGTCTTCCTTCATATGTGAAGGATACTGTACACATACTGAGAATTATTGATAACTTACATATTGTCACGTACCTGGTGTGAGAGGCCAATGGAGAGAGGGCTTCCCTTGCGGCTAAGTTCCAGACTCCCCTAAGAGTGGGACAGCAGGAGTCAGGCCCAAAGTGGCACAGGTTGCCTGTAGGAGTGCTTGTTGGTGGTCCACCCAGGAGCACAGCTGATGCTCTGAGATGAGGTCTGCAGACAGGGGGCACCTGTGCGAGGTATGCAAGCCTTTCCGGGGAACAGAAGATTACTGGATAGCCGATTCAAAGCCAAGGTCCGGTACCGGGTGGGAATCAGAGCAGACGTAGTCAGATGGGATAGCCGGGGTCATACACAGAGGAGCAAAGAGGAAATATCAGTTATCCAAGCCGAGGTCAGATCAGGGGTTAAACAGAGAAGACAGGTCCAAGCCGAGTCGGTATCAGGAAATCACAGATTCACAATAGCACAGGAATCAGGAACAAGGAACTGGGAAGCCAGAGATCAACCAGCACCTGATAGTAGGGCAGGGCTTCCTTATAAAGGCTGTTTGGAGCCAAATTTGAGCCGATGTGAACTTCTGCGGCCATGCAAGGTACTGGCAGGGGTGCCAGGTCTCCTAACACCTCTGCCGAGGACAGAGCCCTGACACATATACCTGAAGAAAGGGGTCTTTTCTTGTCACCATAGATATAGAAGCATTATATAGCTCCATTCCCCACAGTAAGGGGGTAGAAGCCATTTGACAGATCCTTACACAGAGGAAGTATCAAGAATGGGCCTATAATGAGTTTATTGTTTCAGCTTTAGACTTTATTCTCCAGCATAATGTTTTCATGTTTAATGGTTCCCACTACCTCCAGGTACAAGGCATGGTGATGGGGACCTCATGTGCCCTATCGTACGCCAACTTGCACCTGGGGGAGTGGGGCTGATGAGGACTTATTTATGTATATGGCCACATTAGCATGTGGAGCCAGTAAGTTGATGACATCCTCATGGTTTGGGATGGCCCTGAAGAATTAGTGATTGGTTGTCTGGAGAGAATAAACAAAAATAAGTATAATCTTTCATTCACTATGACCTACAATAGAAAGGAAGTTACTTTTCAAGATGTTAGTATTTTGGTGAATAATGATGGTAGTTTGGCTAGTAGACTGTACCAAAAACCTACAGCTGGCAATACTATATTACATGCTTCAAGCTTTGATCCAAGGCATTGATTTCATTTATCCCATACAGTCAATATTTAAGGATAAGAAAAAAAGTGCTCTGATGAACAAACCTTCAAAGAGGAGGGTATTGCACTCCACGACAGACTATTGGAGAGGGGATATACTAAGTCTTGCTTGCAAAAAGCCTGTAAAAGCGCTTGTAATAATATTAGAAAATGATCTCTTATGCAAAAATCAGAATAAGATAGTATCAGATAATCAGACCAGAATCATTATGAAATTATCTAATCAGCACAACCAAGTTAGAGATGTCATCCAAAAATACTGGCACTTATTACCCATAGATCCTTTATTAGGAAAATTTGTTTCTTCCACTCCCCAGTTTACTTTTAGGAGGGCCACGTCTATGAGAGATCGTATTACACGAAGTGAATATAATGGTGACTCTATGAGAGACCCTTGCAAATTAAAAGGCACCTTCTGTTGTGGGGATTGAAAATATTGCAAATATATGTGTATGGAAGTACAACCCAAACTACCGAATGGGGCCTTGTTCAAACTTAAACACTTTGCTAACTGTCAAACCACCGGAGTGATATATCTATTACTCTGTGAATGTGGTTGTTTTTATGTGGGTAAGACTAAGTTGGAATTCTGGAGACAAGCATACAGACACATTAAAAGCATGCGAACAGGTGATCCTAAGTTACCATTGGGACATCATGTCCTTAGTGTACACAATGGACAATTTCCCAAAGTTAAATTCTTTTATTCTAGACCAGGTACATCCAGGTCGAATAGGGGGTGATTGGAATAAATTGCTGTTGCAGTTAGAACTTAAATGGATTTTCCATCTACAAGCTACTCCTCCCCACCCCGGCCTAATGAATCAGTTAACTTTAGGCCTTTTCTACAAGAGTTCACTTCTAGAGACATGGAAAAATAATTTCTATTTCGTGCCTCCTGATCGCTTATGGATAATGCTTATCTATGATACCATGTCTAACAATGTCTATTTCTATTCACAATTGATGTGATGCCTTGTGTATGCCCAATATATGCGTGATATATCTTGCTCATTTGAATATCTATTTTCTCTTGACCTGTGCTACTATGATCATTATTGCCATTTGTTGGTTTTTTGTATTATTTGCATTTTTCCTGTGCATTATGTATGTTTTCAATAATTATGCATTGTTGACATGGATGATTTTTGCTGCAGTGCCACCCTGATTGGGGGACTGGTTGGCTTTGAACCCAGGCGGCTGGTCCCCTTCGTCCAGGGTGTGTTCCCTAGTGATGTCCATCCTGAGGCAACGTGGGTCTGGCATTCAGGTGCCATCTTGGATCCCGGGAGTGCACTGGTGGATGTCATTACTGCTCTATTTAGGTACCTATATAATGTGGAGTCGTCTGTCATCCTCTCTGTGAGCCGGTATACACAGTTTTGATATGCTGCAGGTGTCACCTGCATACACTGGGGTGCATTGTATCCACGGGTTTTGGTAAGCTTCTTGCACTCTTCCCCATGGGCAGTGTTTCTTGGGCATCAAAGGCCTTTTTTCTCTCCTGTTATGATGTTGTCATGTGGATATATGTATTCATACAATGTTCATTAACTTTTTCAATGACAGCACCACTGAATGAGATATACATTGTCTCTATGAGCCGGTGTACACGGTTTTGAAACGCTGCAGGGTCACCTTGCATTTATGAGGGATCATCATATCCATGGTCTCTGGTAAGCTTTTTGCTCTCCTCCCCTTGGTCAGTTTTTCTAGGGCATTAAGGGTCTTTTCTTCTCTTGCTGTGATGTTGTCATGTGGACATATGTATTCATACATTGTTCATCATTTTTTTTCAACAACAGCAATACTGAATGAAATAACTGGTACAACTGGGTATACCTATCCTTGAAGTCTTATACCATACCTATCGCGAAAATACGAGGAGGGGGTGTGACAAGATCTGGATATCTAGACACTTAATGGTGGGTTTCTATGTTATCAAATCAGTACTATATCACTGTATGACACATTATGTGCTCCCATCAATGACTTATACATATA